ATTATTTTGACATATTTACTTTAATTTGTTCATGTAAGGAGAGGGAGTACTGGCACCACCGCACACCACGGTTAAATGAGGTGTCACTACAGTGATGTGGCGAATAATATATTGTCTATGTTTTATATTATTGTACAATACAACATTTATTGTTGTATATTTTAAAGAGATAAAGAAATACTATTTTCTATAAGTAAAAATGAATGGAAGATAAAAATAAATGTAAAATGGCTTGACCATAAAGTTAAAATAATAATAATAAATGAGAACTAATAATGAAAAGACACACCCACAATTCGCATAAAATGACTATTAGAGACGATACATTAATAGAAATTGATTTAACACATTCATAAAACAAGATATTTTTTCATTGGTAATTGGAATCAAAATTTAAATAACTTATTAGATTTTCCTAATTCCTTTTGAGAGTGATCTCCACTTTCTATGTATCCCAAAAGAATAAAAGTATATTAAAAATTAAAGTCTTCAAATGAAATCTATAGGCCTACTTCATAATAGTATTTGATTCCCATTTAGAAAAAAAAAAGGATAAATTCCTCCATATTTAGTGAATTACATCAAACGATCGATATACAATATAATCATTAAGAGGAAATTATTTAGTTCTTTAAGAGTTAAATAAGTTAAAGAAAACTATGGATGTAATACAAAAGTTGGACCACCTCAAATTATAGCGAAAAACATTAGAAAGCACCCATTAGGAATTGATGCTTATATTTTGCATGTATATTGTTATAAAGAGTACAAAAGTATATAAACACAGTTATTATAAATAGTAACAAAACATATTATTTATATATCTTTGATAGTATAGTGTGTCGTATATTTTATCTTTTCTAAATATAGAATATATGTGTACACATGTGTGTATTTAATTATTTAGGTATGCATATCCATGCATGCAACAAAATCTACTTTGTTATTTTAATGATATAGTTTATATATATTTATATTTCAAATATCAATAATTTATATAATCCATACTAACATATTTCAGTCCAACCAATTGAGGGTTTAAATCATGTTTCGAACACAACTAGATTAGTTATTTCAGTTTTTCACTTCTACTATTTGTGTACTTGTTGCTACTTCATGCTTAATGAAAACTTTAGCATCATAATAAGAGAAACATATAGTTTTATATAAAACTTAGTGGTTTATATTAAATTATTGTAATAAAATAATTAATTGTACATGTATATAATTATTGAATTTTATGATAAATAAGGAGACAGCGTAGCATATATACATATCCCCACAAAGTCATTTCCCTTCAGAATTTATAAACCTCACCAACTGATTGCAACAACTAACCTAGATTTGAATGCGACACTCTTCCCATATTAATTCTTGCATTCTATTGAGATCTATACATGCTATATCCAATAAAATTATATATATAATATTGATAATAATTGATCACTAAACAATTTATTTAGCTAAAGTCTTAAAAATAAAGTACAACCCTTCTTTTGTGCATACAAAAATTGACCATAAAGTAATTAAACCATCCAATTGTCGTAATAAGTTGAGTTGTAAACAATAGCTTTAAATGTTATATGTTTTTTGAAAAGATAATAATCAGAATTGTGAAAAAAAAAGTTTATAAAAATTACGAAATAGAAGAAAAATGAACAGAAGCTGTTAAATATGCATGGCGAATGTAATAAGGTTAAATCCATTTATGGGTTAAGAATCAAAACCTAAAACGATTCTTTATGTGTTAAAATTTTGCACGAATACGAAAATTTGCAAAAATGGATCAAGTTGATTCCATTAAAAGCAGCAAAAGGAAGCAAGAATCAAAATTGTAAAATTAATTACCTGAATGCCATTCGGCGAGTTACTGGCGGTTAACACTCTCACCGCCGATTCATTTTCCGGTATATCCACCGGCTTGAATATCCTGATCGAAGCAATTTTTGGCGCCGTTTTTAGAAGAGAGAATTTATACGAATTGGAGTCCAAAGGACTGTTCAGAAACAGATCAGCGTTGGGATACTCTTCCAGAATCTTCTCAACAATCGAAGGTCCGGTAAGTTCAAACCGTCGTGCTCCGCCTACCAAACAAACCGCCATCCTTGACTGGTTCAATTCCGTCGTCGGAAATGGCGTGCCGGAATTAGGTGAACGATTTTGATTAACGGAGAATGACTTGAGGTTTTTTAAATAGTGCAAAGGATTGTATCCGGTGAACATTCCGCTGTTTCCGACGACTCTGGTGGTGGTAATGGAGAGAAACAGCAGGAGAGAGATTGGAACGATAAGTAATAGCAGAAACCGCCATTTGAGATCAAAGAAACGTTTTGTTATCTGTGATAACAGCTTCTCTATATTTTTCATGATCAGAGGATCAATGAATCAAATGATCTTTTTGCTGTCAAAAAAAAAATATGAATCAAATGAATTGCGGTTGAAGATCGAGTTAAAGAGAAAAAGCTGTTACAGAATTTTGAAAACAGAGAATCACAGATAGAATGATGAAGTAGAACACAATGTTATCGTGTGGGGCTGTGTAGGTTGGGAAGGAGAAGAGTTATGCAAATTCAATTTATTTCTTCATATATATATATATATATA